TCAGGGTTTTCAAAATCCAGATTAAGACAAAATCTATCATACATTTACAGGGCTATTCTGCGCTGGTAATAAAAAGTTTGTAAAGTTCCTGTCAATTTTTAAACCCTTTTCGCATTCTGTGTATTCTTGTAACCGGTAAATTTTGTTACCATCTCATAAGCTGGTAACAAAGTATTGCCCCGTGAAATATGCAATGCCAGAATTTGCACAATTCTTCATAGCTGAATTGCTGAATATTTTAACTGCATTACCAACGTTCCTAGAATCGCGGTGACAAGAACTGGTAACATTTTTTGGTAATAAAATTTTCTGGTTACAAAATCTTCGGTAACGTGCAGAACAGACCTGTTAATATCACAGTCCGGTTGGGATCTCAGCTATTGGTGGTGTGTTAACCACAAATCCAGTAATAGAGACTTCATACAGCAGCTTGAGCCCAACGTACGTTAACAAGCAGTAACAAAGAAGTGTCTCCAACATCGCAAAGCACGCTTGATATTAGCTATTGACATAATATATATGTATGTACATTAGGGTGGTCCAAAATAAGTAAAGTCGGAATCTTAATTCCTTAGAATGGTTCTATATCAAAAAAATATTTAGAGGTCGCTCAAAGCGCTCAAAGTTTTCCATGTATTTTATATGAGAAAAAAAACACGTTTTGTAGAAATATACCTTGTTTATACCTACGAAAAAACCGCATTAACAAAAAACCGATTTGATTCAACACATATTTCTTTCAAGCGTTTATACCGGTGTCATTTTAGCGCACTCACTTAAAACGGGCTGTATAAAGAAAACCGGCCATTTTTCACTTCGCGTCAAATTAATGATGTGTTCTAACCGATGTGAAAAATAAAAAAGCGATTTGAAAACAAATTCGAGTCAATACACTTTTGATAACTGAGCGTGTTGAAAGTTGGTTTATGCCTCCGTTTTGAATCACAGCGAACTGGGTCAAAGCGCTTTATGTGTCGGTATAAACAAGGTAATAGTATAGAATTCTTGAAAATCAATATTTTTCGATCGGAAAACTCTGTTTCTCTTCAGGACATACCCAATTGTTTGTTTAACCATTTTTAATACTAATGAGTTTTTATTTATCCCCCATTGCATTTTCAGGCATTTTCTGCGGGTTTTAGCGGACCTATAAAATATATACCTTGTTTATACCGACACATAAGGCGCTTTGACCCAGTTCGCTGTGATTCAAAACGGATGCATAAACTAAATTTCAAAACGCGTTGAAATTGAAAAGTGTGTTGACTTCAATTTGTTTTCAAATCGGTTTTTTGTTTCTTATGATTCAATAATTAAAGGTTTGCTCATTATTGTCATTAGAGTTTTGACACTCCCTTAGCTCCCTTACAAAAGCTTTGCACACACACACGAACCCACATATAATGCCTTGCTAAGGGAGCCGATTTTGTCAAGAGGGAGCGAGAAAACTGCTTTTTGAGCAAACCTTTTATTATTGAATCATGTTTGTTTCTCACATCAGTTAGAAAACAAGTATGTATAGTGAAGTGACAATAGGCTGGTTTTCTTTATACAGCCCGTTTTAAATTCGAATTATTGTTATAATAAATAACAATTATTGTTTGTTTCCATTTCGGTCAACCGCGCAAATTATTTATTAAAAAAATGTCGATTAAAAATAGCAGATTTTGTTTACTTTTGAATAAGACTTTATCCAGTGTGCTATAAAGACAGGGGTATAAATGCTGTAAAGAAATATATGTTGAGTCCAATCGGTTTTTTTGCTAATGCGGTTCTTGTGTAGGTATAAACAAGGTAACACCTACTATGAAAAAAATATTGATTTTCAAGAATTTTATACTATTTCTACGAAAAGTGGTTTTTCTCATATAAAATACATGGAAAATTTTGAAAATAGGGGTATATTTTTTCGGTATAGAACAATCCTAATGGGTGGAGCACAAAAATTCCGACTTTACTCTTTTATATGCATTTTTAGACCACACTAATATACATATACATACATATATATATATATACACACAAACACGCCTAACTAGTAATGGGAACACTTACTTACCTTCTCTTTGAAATTAAATGTACTCTTTTGTAACTTCGTCTTAGCATCGCCAATTGGTCTCTGAAAATCCCACAATCTCACGTGGAGCGTGACATTGCACGCGCCTTCGCACTATGGGCTCAATACAGTGGACTTCGATTTGAACGCATCAACGACACAAGCGCCGATATAGTAATGGGGTTCGGCACACGCTATCATGGAGACAAGTCGGTGAATATTCTAACCGAACATGTTACTGACCCGCCTCACTCTTCCTTCACTTCCTTTACAGTTTCGCTTTTGATGGACCTGGCAACATCCTCGCACACGCCTTTTATCCCTACGAAATGGGCTCCTGGGGTGGTGATGTGCACTTCGATGAGGATGAACACTGGCAAGAAAATTCTACGGACCTAGCAACGGGTGTAGATTTTTATGCGGTTGCAGCTCATGAAATCGGCCATAGTTTGGGTTTAGCTCATTCGCCGCACTACAACTCGATTATGTTTCCGTACTACAAAGGACCGGGCGCAGGTACAACTCTGGATTATGACGACACGTTGGCGATGTATTCGATATACTGTAAGATTTACACATGTGCGAAAATTTTTATTTAAACAGAAAACTTGTATTTTAGTAACCAAAGTTTTGGAAGACGACGAATATAATGGCATTGCAACAACAACACAAGACCCAAAAGTCGTTGAAACCACTACCATTGTGGATGAAGAGAGAACCGAGCAGACAGCTAAAGCTAGAGATTGGTCTTTTTATGATGATTTTTTAACTGGAACTCAATATAAAGTAAGTGAAAACTAAAGATTCATTCCGGTTATAAAATACATATGTACATATCGTCGTTTAAAGTACAAAACCGCGTATCAAGAAAATTAAAAACCTCGTATGCAGGGCCGTATCCTGGATACTTTTTTATTTCCACTTTTATTTCAACAGAGATAGATTAAAAAAAAATACTGATAAAAATAAAATATTTCACACAAACCGGGTTGAAATTTTGAAATTCCTGCCCGTATTTTTGAGGTCAATTTTGAGCCTTTAAAGTGCTCCAGCAGCTTATGATTTGCAGATATAACTTTCATTTTCGGGATATAGATTCCTTGGAGTAATATAAATTCAACAAATATTGAGCATTTTAAGGCAAAATTTTGTTGAAAAAATTTGCAAATTTTTTTTTTATCACCAAAATACTCGAAAACGCTCGAATGATTTTGTTTTTGTTTTCTTTATTCAAAAATTCAACGCTTTTCCTTTGGTTTGATACATGATACAATAATTTTTAGAAGGTAGTTTCCCTTCTTCTTCTTATCCGCCATGTTAGCTATCTGACAGAAAACGTGTTTCGTATTTTTTGTTGTACCAACTCAAGGCGAATACATATAAGGTGGTATCGATTGAACAAATACAACAATTACTTGTATTTTGTTTTTGCTTTTAGCGGGCCTTTGTCAAATTTCAGCTATTCTTCCCCGAATGAAAAAGGGCGACAGAAAATACAAACACTCTCACGTTTTCACTCACTCACTAACGAAATACAAAATTTTGACAATCAAACGCTACTCACAGCTGATGAAACAACACCACCTTATATAAATTCGCCTTGTACCAACTTTTTCAAAAAAAAAATCCAGCTTTTGACGTTGGAAAAATAAAACAAAGAAAAGCCAAACATATAAGTAGAGAAATTTTCGAATATTTTGTAATAATTTTCTTCATAAAAAATTAACTGCTGCTTTCGTGGATATTGAAACACACGGAATAGATGTAAGGACACAGCTATAAGAGCCACCGCACACCACAGACTTTATCGGCCGCCTATTTAAATGATAGGGCTCGCTTAAAATATGTACATGAAGATGTATGGAGGTGCGCACATTACACCAGCTTAATCGCTCTGACCAATAGGTTGTGGTGCAATGGAAAGACTAGCGGGCACATCTAAATTGGCGGCCGATAAAGTCCGTGGTGTGCGATGGAACTAATCCATTATAAACAAGAAATATTGCTGTTATATTTTCATTTTTATGATTTTTATTCATGTGATTAGCTGTGGCAAAAATGTATGAACAAAATACGTGTATGTATATTAAAAATTAAGTGATCAGTTATGAAACAATCTTTACATGTTCTGTTAAAAAATATCTAAAATAACAAGCGATAATCCCCAAGTTCTATATCGTAGCAGTGGCCACATTGCGTGTTTGTCACAGACACGGTTTATGTCAAAAATTTTGAAGTGAAACTACCTTCTAAAAATTATTGTATCATAGTTTGATATATGGGAAGTATTGGTTGATATCTTCTAAGTATGTTTATTTGATTGAAAAATATGGGCATAAATGATTTTCCATACAAAACCACTTCGTCATCGTTTTGCAAACACGTGCATGCGTTGGAAGTGAGGGAAGGAGACAAAAAGTATGTATGTGTGCGAACGTACATATGTTGATTGCAGTTAATGTGGATCTGTTTCTATTTTTTAGTAATCTATGTATGTATGTCTATTAGGGCTGTGCGATTATTCGATTACTCGAGCAAGTTGGTTAATCAATTATCCGGTTAATCAATTACTCGAGTAATCAAGATTTTGATTACTCAAAACGATGATTAATCGAGTTACTTGAAATATGATTACTCAAAAAAAATAATTTTGCTCGTTAAAAGTTTGCTTTGGAAAATGCCTATTTTCTTTTTTACATTCTGTATATGAAAAAAAAATTTCGTTTTAATTTTTGAAAACAGAAACGTTGTTTTCAAAGTATCAAGGAATTTTAACTACTTTATACATATGTAAACAGTTGAAATGTTGATTACTCATTTTACTCGAAATGTTGATTAATCATAAATCAACTTACTCAAATATTTTTTTTTTGGTTAATCAAAAATCTTGCTTACTCGAGTAACTGGACTTTTGAGTAATCATAATTTCCAATTAATCGAATAATTGAGTTATTTACTTTATGATTAATTAAAATTTTGAGTAATCAATTAATCGCACAT